TTTAAACAAATAAAACAAAAAAACTATATATATATATATATATAAACCCTATATCTATCTCACCTGTTTGTCTTTAGTTAATAATGTAAAAAAGATTACGCTGAGCTAGTTAACCTCCTAGGACCTTCAGGGCTTTAGAGATGGTCTACATAGCTACTCTCATTGCTTACAAGGGTGTCTTGGCCTCGACCGCGCTTTTTTTAATAAAGTTTGTTTTTTTTGTCTGTATATTTTAATTCAAAATTTCCATGAACCGTTTAAAGTCCCCTTGTATACAAACCAAGAGCCCTGGTGGCATAGTGTTTATAAGTCGGGCTGCTAACCGCAAGGCCAGCAATTTAAAACTCAGCCACTCCTCATGGAGTTAGACAATGATTTCTATTTCTGTAAAGAGTTATAGTCTCAGAAACTCAGACACTGTTCTACCCTGTCCTACAGGATCGCTATGAGTAAGCATTGACAAAATGGTAGTGGGTGTGTTTGTTTTTGAATTTTCTATGTAAACCACTATAAAACCCAGGGATTATAACAATAACCATTTATTCCTACTCAAAAGCCTGCAGCTCTCGGTAGTTCTGGCTTGAGGCAGGTTTGATCTCAGTGCTAGATTTCCTCAAGCACCTGAGAGGGCCGACTGGGATTACTGATTTGATTCCACACTGTCTTTCATGCTCCAGCACCCTGGCCTGGACTAGTTCTCACCTAAGTGCCACAGGTCTAAGGGAAAGAGCTAACATAGCTCAGTCTTTTCGAAAGCTAAGCCCAGAATCCGCACAAAAGCACCGTCACCTTCTACAGCAGCTCACTCAAGGCTACCTAGATTCCGGGTGGGGGTGAGTAGACTTAGCTTCCTGGGGGATGAGCTGAAATAGCCCAAATTTCATGAGATTAATTTTATTAAAATGCACTAATTTAACTTGATTAAACTGGATGTGAATAGGACTATTGGGCTTATACACCCCCATTCTTAATCACTGTATCTGATTTTCTCCCATGGAGACTTCCATTTGGTTTGTGATTTTAGCTAAAAAGTAGAAAAAATCACTTTAGTAGCATCGAGCTTTTAGTTTGAGATTTTTAAACTAATAAAACAGTTTATTTACAATTTTTAACACTTATAAAAACCAATCAGAACTATAGCTATTTTGACAGAATCTTAAATCAGAAAGTATGGAGTTTTAGTTGTCTTTTTTCCCATCAGCCTTCCCATCCAATAAAACTTCATGTTTTTTACATAATACTAAAAACTTTGAGACACACAGAAAAGTAGTTGCAAATGGTAACCATTAGTAATACTTTAAAGTATTATTTTACTCTTAAAATTATTTTAGATTGATAGCACAGTATTAAAAATAAAACAGACTTCTCTTATAGCCTTTGTCCATCTTCCCTTAACTTTGCGATTTTATATAATCATAGTAAAATGATCATAACCAAGTCATGAAGATTGGTATAATACTGTTAACTAATGCAGTCACTCTGCTATAGGATTAAATCCAGAACCTCTACATCCAGAGCTCATTTTGTTCCTTTAAATCCAACACCAACATATTACCTACCCATTTACCAAGGGGGGAAAAAAGATAAATTTGAAAAATGTCTCAATTATCTTATCAACGTACCTGTTTAATAGAACGGGGGTACCTGAAGAGTTCTAAATCATAGACATAGACCAGTGGTTGTCAACTTTGGCTGCACATCAGAAATGCTGAGGTGGTAGACTTAAAATTTCTGATGTCCACCTGTATCTCTGACTAAGTCGCAATCTAGTGGTAGTAGCCAGATGTTGGTAGTTTGTAAACCTCCCGGCTGATAATTCAGAATCAAAACAATGGCAGTAGTAGGTGGTTTAGTAAATCAAAGTTAAATCAAAGTGCAGATCAGAGAGAAGTTAACCAGCAAGGGAATTTTGAACACTGACATATATTCTGTAGGCATAGTGATTCAACCCACTAAACAGCAGGACCCATTTCTCTGGGGAGTGGTGGGGGTTCAGTGGTGGCATTCTCCCATGCTGAAGGCCTGGATTCACCATGTCTGCCAGTGGGGCTTCGTGCGCTACTAAGATGCTCAACAGCTTGCAGCAGACCCTCCAAATTCAGACAGATCAGGGATCGACTTCTGAAGTCAGCCAGGGAAAACACTACAGATCACAAAAGTCCAATCCTATTGAGCATGAGGCTACCATGAGTTGAGTTTGGAGCCAATTTGAGAGCAGCTCTAAGAACTCCACCATCACATATTTCTTCAACGAATCCTGAGACAATACCGAATGCCTTTATTTAATGAAGATAGGACATATATAGTAGCATTCCTGTGTCACAAGAGCTCTTTCTAGAAAATGATAGAATCCTGTATTAAACAAAAATATTAAAACGTAAAGTTCTTGTTTCTAGAAGGAGCCCTGATGTTGGTTCAAACCCCCTAACTGCTCCATAGGAGAAAAAGGTGGCAATCTGCTTCCATATAGATTTACAGGCTTGGAAACTCCATGGGATTATTCTACACGGTTCTTTAGGGTGACTATGAATCGGATAAAAGACTCAACAGTAATGGGTTTCGTCAACTGTTCCCAGATATACCCCTCATCTAGATCTACAAACTTCTAACCCTTCCCTGAAGAATTCTACAGTCTTTAGCTGATATGGAAAAATGGCAGTTTTGACATTCTCAAGAGACGCAAATTGTGTTCCTTTTAAAGGTTGAGTTTTGAGAAAAGAAGAGGTAGGATTGGGAATGGAGGTTGCATACAGTAAGGTTTCCCAATGAAATTCTTGTGGGATCACCCTTGCTACCCTAGAAGAACGAGCCAAACACCAAAACACACCATCATCGAGCCAAACACCAAAACACACCATCATCCAGTCAAACACAACTCATAGTGATCCTATATAGTTTCTGAGGCTGTAAAAGTATGCAGGACCCGAGGAGAAAACAATGGGACTGACAGTTCCAGGGGGAACAAGGAGAGGGGGAAGTGGGGGAAAAGTAAGGGGAGAACCAACAAGTTCAACGACAAGGGAACAAGTGATCTAAAATTGATGGCAAGGAGGGCATAGAATGCCTGGTGGGGTTTGATCAAGTGCAATGTTTCCAAGAGGAATTACTGAAAGCTTAATGACAGTCGAATATGATAATAGGACAAGATGAAAGTAAAAGCAAAGAGAGGAAAGAACTAGGAGACAAAGACGTTTATTTATATAAGTAGAAATAGAGGCATGTACGTATGTAAATATATTTATATATAATGATAGGGACATAGATGTACATATACTCATATGTTAGGGATTAAGGTAGGAGACATTGGGCCTCTACTCAAGTCCTCACTCAACACAAGAACACTTCGTTTTAATAACCTGGCATTCTGTGATGCTCACCTTCCCTACAGAATCGATGAAGACAAAATGGGTGCATAAACAATGTGGAGAAGAAAGCTTATGGTGCCTGGCTATTACAAGAGATATAGTCTGGGGTCTTTAAGGCTTGAAGTTAAGCAAGTGGCTACCTAGCAAGGAAGCAACAAAGCCCACATCAGCCTCTGTGATCACAAGGTATCCATGGGATCAGGTATCAGAAGACCCAAAACAAACAATCATACTATGCGAATGAGGGGAGCCAGAGTGGAGACACAATCTGTAGACAATTGGACATCCCCTCAGAAGGGCCACACGAAAGGGACAAATCAGCCAGGGTGCTGCACAGCACCTACGAAAACACACAACAGTCCTCTGGTTCTTGAATGCTTCCTCTCCCTGACTATCATGACCCCAGTTCTACCTTACAAATCTGGCTAGACCACATGTACACTGATGCATATATGAGGGTACAGATACCCTCCCGACACACAAAATCCAGGACTGATAAACCCCTCAGGTACAGTAATGGGAGTAGTGATACCATGAGGGTAGGGGGACGATGGGGGGAGGGGAAGAAACAACAGAAATGTGGGTGAAGGGAGACAGCAGAAGGTGTAAGATGAAAATAACAATGTATAATTTATCAAGGATTCATGAGGGTGGGGGAGGGAGGAAGGGGGGTAGAAAGGAGCTGATACCAAGGGCTCAAGCAGAAAACGTTTTCAAAAGGATGATGGCAACATCCTTTGCTTGATACAAATATGCTTGATACAATTGATGTATGAATTGTTACAAGAGCTGTAAGAGTCCCCCCAAAATCAGCTTAAAGAAAAAAACCGGAAAAGATCACGTTGAAAGTTTTAGCCAACAAACCAGGTAATGAGGAAGTATACTCTCTCAAAACAAACAAACAAACAAACAAACAAACAAACAAACAAACAAACAAACAAACGTTACAGTAGCCAGTTTAACTTTCTGCAGTGGAGAGGCTGATGACCTGGTGGTCAGTACAGGGCTACCTGGGCTCCTATAACACTCCCGAATTCAATGAACAAAAAGCAAATGTTAGTGCAGACTTTGGAAAAACTAGTCGCCATAGGAAATCTTGATAGACTTAGTCTTGAATGGTTTTATGAGCGATTTGAAAGAGCACAACATAGACTACCAAATTACACCCGCATGCCCTATCAACACCAACAGAGCTGTACATGATAATATACTACTCGCGCTTCGCACTTTACTTTCCATACAGTATCTTATTTCATGCATAACAACCCTGAAGAGAGACTCGAGGTTGCTTTTGAAGTTGAACCAAAAAACCGCGTTGAAGGTCACCCAAGACGTGATGAGTCGAATCCAGGTTCGAACTAGAAATAGATCTTTTTTCACCCTCTAACCTTTGGACGTTGGGCAGGAGGGGTGAGGAGAAACCACTGCACGTAGGCAGTGGGGTGAAGTTCCAGAAACCTGTTAAAAAGAAACCAGCCTCGGGCCAAGGAGAGACCACCGCGCGGGTTCGCCCGGGGTCCCAGGTCGGTGACCCCAGGAGGGGCGCCGGCGCCACTGCCCTCTCGACCTCACCAAGGTCCGGAGGCCCGCTCCTGTCCCGCAAGGGTCTCACCACGGGCCGGATCGCCCCCTCACCGTGAGTCGGGGTCCTGGTCTCGGGCGGCGGGCAACGGCAGACCCTCCCGGCCACGGGCTCCTCGGCGTCGGGCCGCCCCGGCGAAGATCGCTCAACGCGGACGGCAGGAAGCTGCTCAGCGCGCAGCCGCCGCGGCCTCCAACCACCTGCGGGCGAAGGGGCGCGAGGCCGCCCCCAACCCGCTCCCCC